AAATGGCGCCAGTGGCGCTAATACGTTCAATGACATCAGTTTGATGTAATTTCATAGGTTTTCAACAGATTTCTTTGTCTGTTCCCGGGATATTAAGGGGTTCCAAATTACTACCTCTTCTCTCTACATGAGTAATATCGATATATCGATATTTATTCTTAGCCGATATATATTTATCCGCTTTATCGATATAAAACTTTCAATATCGACATATAAATTCAATGAAAGTCGAATAGTTATATAATATTATTATTAATTCCGAGCTTTTTCTTAGCTGCACAACAGGAAAAACCCTTTTTGAGATTTTCTTTCGGTTTTTACCAATAGACGGAATGATCCATGTAGAAAGTTTAAATTAAGTTTTGTGAAAATCACCTGATAAATAACTATTGTTCAGAATGTTGGAAAACATCCTGTCGCGCGGATATATATCGTTCACTACAGCTTTCTAAAATCTGGCCAAACGATTACGGCAGATATCTATTGTCAGCAACTGCAAACCATGAAGGAAGAACTAGCTTGCTAAACAACCGAGATTGGTCAATCGTTCTAAGCCACTGCTGCTTCATGACAACGCAAGACCACACATTGCAAAACAAACAACCACTAAGTTAGATGAGCTACAACCATTTTTCCGGAATTTGAACAACTTCTTACAAGAAATTTAACTGCGATGCGGCAGTCCAACCGCCTTCAGAGTTTATTGATTCTCGCCCCCATGGTTTTTTTAGTAAAGGGATCAATGAAGACCTATGAGATGGCCAAAAGTGCATAGATAACAACTTACTCGACAACATAACAACTGTTACTCGTGCGAATACAACTGTATAGTATTATGTAAGTAATAATATTTTTGTTCCAAAAATCTAAAAGATGGAGAGGTCTTTTAAACGACTGATTAAAGTATTTAATATCTTTAATATTTTATCAACCAAGCTGTTTATATTTACTTTAACCATTGATTAGTTAACTGTGTGAATTGTATAGAATTTATTATGGATATTATGTCATAATCCATCGCATAGAAGTCGTTCTATGACATTGTTACCAAATTATGAGTTGAAATGCACAAAAACAAAATTGAATGTATGGTTTTTCTATAATTGGTACCTATTACCAGACAGATGACAAACTTTTTTGTGGCCATGTATTAAGTAAAACACCAACTACAAATAATATCTTTTAACTAACATGTCACCGTATTTCGATATTAAATAATGCACTGTTTCTTTACTGTACATGATCCTTTAAAGGAGTTTTATAAACGTTTTGCGGCAACATCATTCCGTATTTGGATCTATATTTTTTCTAATGATACTATCCTAAATATTTGAGTATATTGCGCGTTTTAAATTTCTATAGTGAAAATGTTGATTGATTTTTTTAAGCCCTCCCTTTTAAGACTTGTTGATAAGGAAGCAATTATTATACGCAATAATAAGTTTTTACTGGCTGTGTGTGCAATAAGCTTATTTATTCAAGTGAAATCAATTATACGAACGAAAAATTATAAATCATTCTACATCTCCCGCTACTGAAGGCAATCTCATGTCGACGGATCAGGATCTGGCCACGAAGAAATTGCCTACTTGTTAAAATAGTAAAATTAGCTGACTTCCAAGGTTTAAAGATCTAACCAATTTGAATATTTCTTTCTTTATCCTATTGTATATATGGATTCTGTATGGCCAATATATTATTGTATACAAGTTTCTGACCTTTGTTATTTTAACCTTGTAACCTTTAGATGTTTTCATTTTACACACTTTTCCAGATACTATGTACTACAAAATGCCACCTGTCTTTCACCTTGATGATTATGCCCCCTGTTTGACCGACCCTGGAGGTGTTTACTATATGGCAAGGATAGTTCTCGTATCAGACACGCCTAGTGTACTCCTAAACATGATTCGTGTGAGTAAATGAGAGAAAAGAAAAAAAGAAAAAAATATACGAGCAAGAAAAAATACAAGAATATTGTATGTCATAAAGTATTAGAATAATAAACACACTTTTTTATATATATGGAACTGACTAGCGCTTGACTGCCATCCCACCTGATGGTAAGTGGTGATGCAGCCGTGGATGGTAAGCGCGCTAGCTCAGTAAAAGCCTATTCACTCTTGCCTTGAAGACGCCTACGTTATAATCGGATGGGAAGACCGACGCCGGCAGGTTGTTCCATTCCTTAGCCGTACGGATGATAAATGACGATGCGAATCTCTTTGTTCTTGTGCGTAGAACGTCGACAGAAAAAGGGTGAAGCCCCGCCGAACGTCTAGTTGTCCGATGATGGAAAGGGGCGGGAGGAATCAAATGGTGCAGCTCCAACGCACACTCTCCAAAATGCATCCCGTAAAAAACCGAGAGGCTGGCTACTCTGCGCCTGTGCTCGAGGCTGGTGAGATTGGTTTTAACCAAATCGCGGGCATGCTACATCCAAAACTGTTTCAGGAAATAGGTTTCTAATAATCTTTTCTATCAAACGAAACTGGCAAAAATTGTTAACCCCTGTTGATGATGTAAGTCCCCGTTTCAAAAGCTTCAAAGGATTCAATGGTGTCAGGTGATAGCTTGAATACTCATACTATCAATATGTAATAAAAACAGGATTAAAGAAAGGACGTTAATATCACTACATAGTATAAACAAAGCCATTCGGCTGCCTGTCTGTCCGTTTATACCTATGCTTATATTTTTAAAACTACTCAACGAATCTTGATGCGGTTTTTTAATAGATAGAGGTCATACGTATATTATAATATACATATGTTATAATACATTGTACGCGTGCGAAGCCGGGGCGGATTGCTTGTTTAACTATAATTGATAAAAACAACTGGTGTAGTGTCATAGGTCCACGTAAAATTTTGAAGTCAACACGAAGTATATTTTCATTTCATTCGATAAAAACGTGGAGTCTTTTATGTCTGTCAGCTTTCTTGTAAATAAAAAAGGTGTTTACGTATTATTACGTATTACGTATAATAACGGCGCTGGTTATAACAGTACATTCTTTCCTGCCGTTCATTAACGAAGCGAATAACACGCGTCACGTTGAAGCATAAGTATTCTTATTGCATTTAGTTGTTTTTCTTACTATCATTAATTTCCTCATTAATATTTTTAGAGGTGAAATGAAATGGCAATTTATCTATAAAAACATACAATATTACTTGTATCTTGTATTAACTGATGTTTTTGCTTTCAGTCCCGAGACTATTAAAGCTTCATCGGACGCAGAACCGGTGGACTAGCCAGAACCTGCGGGTTTGGACCCTCCGCTATGGGTAGGGTCGCGCGTGCGTTTAACTATTTATGCGATTTCGTCCCTTTGACCCTTAATGCCGTTTGCATTGAAATTCGAAACAACCAGAGCCCGAGGTTTTGTTCTACCTGCGGTTGTACTTTCCATTAAAGTTTTTTTTATGGTTCTAAGTAACGTCGCGGCAGAGCGCGGTTTTATTGCGCGGACTATTATGTCTTTATGGTTGGATTGTAAAAGCCCAGAGGGCTTCTACAAAAATTTTATGTTCGCTGATTGATCTAAAACGCTCGGTGCCAGATGTGGCGGCCGCTATTTTAGCGGACAATACGGCGAGTTCCTGTCTGTTGATGTGGTCTAATAAGCCGAAGATGTTGGCAGTTTGGGCGAACGGGTCGTCCTTGTTTTCGGCGAAAACCGACCGGTGTTGACTGCACCTGCGTCCTCGGCCACCTGGGGTTTCGCCCAGGCGTTTACAACGGGTACGGGCGCGGGAATGTATTTCACGGGCACGAGATTTTCTCGCGGGAGTTTTCGGGGCCTTAGCGCAGCCTCTGTAACTAGCCGGGTGGCCGGTAGCGTGGCAGTTTACGCAGTCCGGTGGATCTGCGCAATCTTTCGGCCGCGTGCACTCGGGCGTGCCGGTGACCACCGGTGCATTTGACGCACCTAGGGTGAGCGAAGCAATTGTTGGCCGTGTGGCCGTAGTGCTGCTGGCTTTGTAAAACGTCCTTATAACAAAGGATAATGTCATCCTAAAGTTAGGGCAACGTTTTTAAAAAAAGACAAAAAAGATATGGGTGTTTGCAACACCCGTAGGGTGCCAATGGGCAGACAGCCTTCTAATAAAGTGCGCCCACGCTGGTCTTCTGTGAGGTCGTGGTACTTACCCGGACGGGCCTGCCCATTCGTGCAACAGCGCAGACTGTTGCATGGTAGTAACTATCAATGATCATGGACATCAATCACATCTGCGAGGGTGTATTACCTTTACTTGGATCTTCTGCGAGATCCCGATCTTCTTCCCCGAAGGCATTTCGTGGTCCATTCATTCAATAGTATAAGATAACGAGTAACTTTACTTCCGTACATATTTATTCTAAATCTGCTTAAGACCATCCAGCGTAAAATCTGTCGTACCTACGTTCCCTGCATTTGATATACAGTTAAATACAGTTTACGATAAAGTTAAATCATTTTTTAATGTGCGCATTTTCTCATTCGTGTTTTTTTTTAGTGTAGGTCTTACCAAGTTGGTGGTAACTTGCTTCGCTACAGGTCCTTTGACTAACAAAGCTTCACAAAGTCACAAGCTAATTTATCTCAGGGTATAAGAGAAATCAATAAATGAAAGTCACTGCTTTAATCGAATACTACGCCGCTTATGTTTATTTTACCCAATTCCATATAATTTCCGGGTATTAATTTATGAAATAAATATAGGCATGATAATTTTAATTATTATTCCAAGGTTTGTTGACTCACTGCTTTTTTTGTCTTATCGCAGTTGCCTCTTTTGACGAATAAAATATAGCTGCTAGACTAGTCATATATCTAAAGTTGTTTGACCATAGCTCAGCAAACACGTCACTTGAGCTGATTGTAGAAATAAAATAAAATTAAAATTCAATTAAAAAAAGCTACTATTTTAAGTATTGTATAACCAACTAAAGTTTTAATATTATACCATTTGTACCAGTATCACAGATAACTTTGATTATTATTATTGTTGGAGATGCTAATTTTTTTATTACTTCTTGTATTACAAACCGGGAGCTGTGTGATTTATAGACTCAATGGTAAGTAAATTCGACTTCATATCTATCTATTTAATAGAAATGTACATAATATAAAGGACAAGGACGAAAACGGCCTATAACCGTCTGTACATACAACTTATCTGTACATACCATTATTATCAGGGAATTATGTGACTTAAATATAAGTTAGTAGAAATTGACGGACACTTCTGAGAATCATAAATATTTTGGAGAGTAGTTTATATGACTTGCTCTCAAAAATATACAGGGAGATTTTTTGAGAAATGCCCAAATTTACACAGAAGGTTCAGACTCAGTAGTATAATCGTTTATTGAAAAAAAAACAGCTTTTTTACCAAAAAAAAAATGCCATTCTATTCCCTCAAAAACAGAACGTGCTGACAATGCGTTCTAAAATTTACTGTGCACGAACTTTTGTGCGTGTTAGTATGAATGATCGCGGGTAAAATAAATGTGTTGCATATAAATCACGCACTTTTTGAGATAAGTTCAAACAAATGTAATTAATTACTTACGAGTGATTTTAAATATTTATCATTTTTTATATAACATTATTTATGTCTTGAATTTAATAAAAAAATGGATACACTTAGAAAAGCCACCCTGTATATTAGCTATTAAATTTCCCGTCTAATGATATATTTTTATTGTGACGAATCCAATCGAAACAAATTTAAGTTATAAGTAAATTCAGCGCATGATATTATTACAGAATTTACAAATTCAAATCATGTGTCCAGTGCTAAAAAGGCTGGAAGCGCTGAACGGTACCCAATTTATAAAAAAAGCATGGGTTTTTGCTTTTCTCTCATCTTGTGATTATTTTAACAAACAATTAGCTAAAATAATGGAGTGATCTTACGACAATATCGATCAGTGATTTACCGACCAACTGAAAGACGGCGACTTTGCCTATGTTATTAGACGTACCTACACACCAAAACATTGTTACAAGATAATAAGACACTAGTTTAGATTTATTTTTCTTAAATAACCACGCGGATTAACATGCGTAAATAATTCGCAACCTCAAAGTTGTAAATTTTTCTGGTTTTATAAAATTCTGTGTCCGTCACATTAGAATATTTTTAGGCGTGTAATGTTTTTAGTACTTAATTTAGAACACAAAAAGAAACGACACTTGGTAAGAGGTACTTAGGGCAACAATGTATGGATGCATGACTTTGTCCTGTATAAGTTTATTGTCTATTAATTGTTAAGAACTGATTATAATAATGAATCGCAAATTATTCCTGACTATGACTATGACTTGCCATAACCTATGTTTGTTACATATATCTTTAAAATACATTATGGACTCATGAATGTATATGAATGCTATATATGCTAAAGATTTTAATGAATGCACAATCGAAACCAATAGTGCTTCTTGTTGAAAGTTCCGTTAAAAGCCTGATCTTACTTAAATTTAATATTAAATTTTTACTCAAGTATATAGCATTAAATATAGCTCAGCCTGTATATTGAATTGTTGTAGCAGACTTATTTGCACAATACAATGTTGGATTGTTTCCAAACCTCTTGTATTCATCCGAGACGTGGACCACATATCGTCGCCACATCCGCACCTTAGACCGATTTCAGTTAAAGTGTCTGCGAAAAACGCACATGGAGTACTGTTCTCACCTCTGGGCGGGACCCCCTATTACCAGCTTCTTCCATTTGACTGCATTCAACGTAGGGCGGCTAGGGTTATCGACGATCAAAGTCTTTCCGATCGGCTTGATCCTTTGGTCTGCGTAGAGATGTTGGATCACTCTGCATCTTCTACTGCAATTATCACGGGGAGTGTTCCGAGGATTGATCCCGACGACTGAATTCTACCATCGGACATCGCGCCAGAACCAAAACTTTCATCCACACCACCTCGATGTCCAACGTTCCACAACAGCGCGATTTTCAAGGCATTTCTTGCCTCGCACAACCACTATGTGGAACCAACTGCCGCCGGCGGTCTTTCCGAACCGTTACGACCTGAGAACCTTCAAGAAGAGAGCATACTCTTTCTTAAAAGGTTTGCAACGCATTTGTGAGCCCTCGGGTGTTGCAGGTATTCATGGGCGGCGGTAATCACTTACCATCATGTGAGCGTCCTGCTCGCTTGCCCCTTTTCTCCATAAAAAAAGTCATTGTTAATTCCATTTAACCACGCTAGAGTATGTATAAATCTGGAACTGGAACTTACAAATTTATTCTCTCACGAAAAAAAAGCATAATGTAATAGTGTTTCTTTTTCCTTAATTACTAAAACTGCGTAATTATTAAGTAGTAGTATAATTCAATTCAGATGACTTTATCATTTCAATTCAAATGATAAAGTCTGAATTGAATTATACTACTACTTAATAATTACGCAGTTTTAGTAATTACTATTACATATATATTAATAATTAATATAATAAAGTTCCAGTTCCTATATGAAGTCACCATTCCGCATTTTATTTAACAGTGGCAACGCATTTGCAACCCTAAGAGTGTTGCAAATGAAAACTGATTTTTTGTGCAAATACATAGTAATAAGTAAAACACTCACTACACAAACACTTTATGGTACTAACTGGTACAAACGGCGAACTTAATGCCATATTTAAGGCATTTTTAACCAGCCAACCGGAAAGTTATGTAATTAAAATTTGTGGATAAAAGAACGATAAGTTTTCGGCGCTGTGGTAATCGAATCCACGTCTTCGGAATTCGCGCACAGACGCTTTAACCACTAAGCTAAACGGCTGATTACCACACCGACGAAAATCTCAACGTCTTTTATCAACATTGTTTTTTCGCATTTCAAGCATCCATTGTTATATTCTTTATAGCATACAAACAGTTTCCAAAATCGTTTTACAACGATAATTCGAACGAGAGTTATTATTAGACTTAAGGCATCATCAAGTCTACGTCAGTGGCGATTAGATAAGCTAAATTGGTAGGCTAAAGTTGTAGCCAATAGAATTTATTACTATTTGTATACTATAAATTAATGAGACATAAATTATCTTTAGCCTATTGGATATATAGATACATGATCATATTCAACTTCCTATTAATTTTACACAATTCCCAACTAACTACCCAGTCGCAAACCTAACCTTTGTTATTGTAGTATTTAGATGCTTTGGTTTTACACTCTTTTACAGATAGTACGTACTATAAAATGCCACCTGTCTTTCACCTTGATGATTATGCCCCCTGTTTGTCCGACCCTGAAGGTGTTTACTGTATGGCAAGGATAGTTCTCGTATCAGACACGCCTAGTGAACTCCTAAATATAATTCATGTGAGTAGTTAAAGTACTATATATTCTTAACCACGCAACTGTTTGCTGCTGCACGAATTGGCAGGTCCGGGGAAGTACCACGACCTAAAAAAGACCGGCGTGAGTGGAAGTGCGTTATACTTCTGCGTTTTTTAACTCCTAAACTAAATCAAATCATGTGATTAGTTAAACCATTATTTATTCTTAACGGTATTTTAATGAATCACTGGCTTCTAGTGTCACTTCATTTATTAAAATTGCTACTCAATTACTTGTAACTATGTTACCACTTGGGCTTAGGTAACTTAGAATACATTTGAAGGGTAGAATAATTAATATCGAGTTGCGATCTTAGACAGTTTTTTTTTTTTAATATCGTTTTCATAATGTAAACATTCTGTTTGCAGTACAAATCTATTGCATTACTCAAACATATCGAAGTTTTTTTAGCTGAGCGATCGATATCTATCTATCTTGACGTCGTATTCACTTCAATTGTATTGAATTTTTAACATTGAACGCTTGTATGTACTTCTCATATGTACTCCTTGAGAGCAATCACTGTTTCATAAAGGGAATCAGCATGTCGTGAACAGTGTTTGTACACTCAGATTCCAAAGAAGTCTTTTTTGGCCTTGTTGCGTATGAGAATCGATATATAAAACATAACATTATTGAAAAACCTTTTGACACTATAACGGTGATAAATCTGTTATTGGATTTATTGATTTGCATTAGCTCAAATATTTCATATACAATTTTTTATCAACCATTATTAACTTTCATTTTACAGAATTATTCTGAGCATCGAATTAAGCATTACAATCATAGTGAACTTCATTATGGAATTTGCGTTACTTATATGTGTAGAAAATATTACTATGATGGAAATAAAAAAGAGAATATTGAAATAACCCTTGAGAAATGCTTGAACGATACATTTTTAATAAAGCACGAACTAAAAACAAGACTAATGGACCCTTTAGTTTGCAATATGAGAAATGATAAATTGGATATAGACTATTGGGATTATGTGGTAGCTTCTAGTTGCTTAGGTTTATTTATGATTAATTTTATTGCAAGCGTGTATGACATATTTTATGTAAAGAAAAACGGAAGTATAGGTAATTATAACGTTATTATTTTAATATCGTCATCATTATACATATTACAATTATTTTTCCACGCAGAAAATTTTTACAATGCTGTATCCTAAATTTTTTCAGGAAATAAGTTTCTAATGATCTTTTCCATCAAACGAAACTGGGAAAAATTGTTGGCCCCTGTTGATGATACTAGTCCCCGTTTGAAAAGCCTCAAAGGATTCAATGGTGCAAGGTGATGGCTTTACTTGTCATACAATCAAATGTAATAAAAACAAAATCAAAGACTGAAAGAAATTCATTATTAGGCCAGTACCATGGGTAGATAAAGTTAAATATTGAGCTGTCGTCCTTGATGCTAAGACCACCTTCACCATCACCAGTCAGCTTCGGAATCGTCAATCGAGGTACAGGCTCGGTACATCGAGGTACATCGAGGCCGGCTACCTCAAGCCCGGTGGATTTATTTGTAAAGGCCTCCTCAAGGTCAACAGTTGACGATCCATAAAAAATGTTATTAAACGATATATGATAACAAATATCTGATTGGCTGTTATAAAGTATATTTCGTTTCATTCCAAAAAATTATGTAATCTTTAATGTCCAGTAAATAAGAAAAAGTTTTTTGCGTGTATAAATATAACCACATAAACATACATCAAAATAAATTATAAGTACAAAACTCTTAATGCCTGTGTTCTTATTGTCTGAACCAAATTTATTTTACTCTATATCAGGACTATAGTAACGGCGCTGGTTATAACAGTACATTCTTTCCTACCGTTCATTAACGACGCGAGTAACACGCGTGACGTTGAAGCAGTAAGTATGCCTGATGTATTCGTTTTACTTTCTTTTTTTATTTCATCGATTTCCTCATTTATATTTTCAGGTGTGAAATGATTCTATAAAAATAAACAATTTCACATTTATAATTTTAACTTACCAAAATTTTTAAATTCACTTTAATAAAGATCCGAGTTTTCAGTTGTTCTTTTAAAATATTTCCTTATATTCTTTTTATAGTCACTTAACTTTAAATAACATTCCTCTTTTTATATTTATTTCAGATCTATGATAACGTATGGTATCACACTTTTATCAGCGGTACACCGATTGTTCAGGCTTTCTTCCTCTTATCCGGTTTCCTGCTGGCATACAATATACAAATAAAGAAGGAAAAGAGAGCAGTGACCTGGCAAATGATCCCGATGGGAATATGGCTACGATGGTTAAGGTCAGTAAGTTATTTTTTTATTGCTGAAGGATATAAGTCTTGGAATGTAATGAGGACAAATAAGGATAGAAATTTCTGCAGTCAAAATATTCTAACATTATAATTTACTAATGTTTCACCTATAAGGGTTTCCCCGACCCGAGTCGAAAATTCCTGTGTAGACATATATATATATATATCACCATCCGCTTTTATATAACTTGGATAGATAAGGAGTCAAGTCTTACTAAAGACTAATACAGCATGAAAAAGTGCCACCACAATCAGCCTGACAAAATATACCTGGATCTAGCGACTGTTGATGTCAGTCTTAAAGGTTAGCAACATCAGGCCAAACACTTCCTTGTTTGCTACTTGCTCTTATGAATGAAAATAGTCGTTGTCAGTATTTACTTTTAAGTAGCATCTCATTTTAGGCTCACACCGTGTTATGCCCTCGTGTTAGCTATCACCTCTACATGGCTACGATTTGCTGGGTCAGGACCTTTGTGGCATGTAAGTATTTTCTTATTTTCTAGTAATAAAAAAATGTTATGCCTTCAGTATTTTTTGTAATGTATGTTTCCTTTATTTTGACAAAGTTAACGGTGTAGATCGGAACATCAACAGGCAGATTTTCGCTAAGGCAACAAAACAGGCAACATCTAAATTTGTAACAAATATCTTCCTAAACGTTAATCGAGGACTCAGTGGAGTAGTAATCAGGCTTAATAATTTATTTTATTAATTGAATGGACTTAATAATACAGGGTGGCTTTTTTAAAAGATGCCCAAATTCACATAGGAGGTTCAAGCTCGATAGTATAATCGTTTATTGAAATAAAAACAAACTTTTTTCCCAAAAAAACTTTTTGACAATTCGGTAGTATTTCATAAATGCGTCGTATACTTTGGAAACGAACTTGCGTGCGTGTTAGTTGTGAATGATCGCGCGTAAAATAAATGAGTTTCCCATAAATGACGCACTTTTTGAGATAAGTTCAAATGGATGAAAATTAATGAAACGAGTGATTTTAAATATTTATCATTTTTATATAACATAATTTATGTCTAGAATTCATAGAAGTCAGTCATAGAATAACACTTAGAAAAGCCTCCCTGTATATTTGACTTTAATAAATATGTTATGCTAATTTGGAAACGAAGCAGCAGTATTTCGAAAGGTACCATCTTACATCGCTCGTGCGTAGCGACGTCACCCCCACCCTCTGCTACTCAGATTTCCGCATCGGAAACATATATGCAACGTTTTTTTCTCTATTATTATCAGTTCATCGTTATATTCATATAACTGCCATGTACATTAATGTAAGAATATTTATCACTTTAATCAAACTATTTCAAAAAGTAGTTAGTAACAATATTTTTTTTATGACAAATCGCTTTTATAATTACAGGAGGGGGTGCTCTCTGAAGTTAAGGACTGCCGTCGTGACGGTTGGCAGAATTTGCTCTACATTAATAACTATTTTGACAATACGCAGTGTATGGCACAGTGTTGGTAATTTTTTTTTTTTTTTTTTTTTTTTTTTTTAATTAAAAAAACACTGCCCTTACTTTAGGATAATATTATCCTGTGTTGTAAAGGACGTTTTACAAACATAAATTTCACGCGGACAAACACCCAGATGCGAAACAACTATCTGTGGGTCACACAAATAGGTGTCCCGTGTGGGAATCAAACCCACGACCCCCGACGCCGTAGCCAATAACTTGGCAACTGCGCCACGAAGTCATTAATTACAAAATGAAAAGTTCTTTCTAGCCTATGTGATAGCCGTGACAGCTCAGTGTCTTAATTGTAACAGTGAATTTAATTCAATACACTCGACCAACCAGAGCTCGATAAAATTGTTAATTTTAAGAGAATTTAAGTGAAAAATGTGCGTTAATTTTAAGTGAAAACATGGAATCAAATGAGGAAACTGCATATTTTCGAAATAAAAATTAAAAAAAATATTTCGAAGATATGTGAATTCCGCTAATCCGCAGTGGGGCCGCGTGGTGGACTACCCCTGCCCTGATAACCACTGTACAAAGGGGACCTTTGCTCAGCAGTGGGACATGTATGATACTTTTACTTAAATATTAATTTCTTATTTTTTACGTGCTTTTTTTACACTCAACTAGTACCGGATTCCACTCGTTAAACTTATAGATAGTCCGATTGAATGGGTAAATAAAGTCAAATAGTTTTATTCAGCCAGCACGTGACTTGTATCCGGAACCGGATAGGTCGCCTGTATCCCCTTAAAATAAAACTTCAAAAATGTCTCTTCGGAACAAGGTGACAATATATAAGGCAGTTGTTTGCTCTATTATAACTTCGCGCACATTTCTCCGAGGCAAATGCACCGGCTTCATGTTATCCAGAATCGATTTTTACGCGGAGCTAAGGGAGCGCCGTGGTTCGTGCGCAAGTACTACTTACATGTAGATTCAGAGCTGCCAATCATCGCTCAGTTCCTGAAGTCGGCGTCACGCCGCTACTTCGTGTCCGTCGCCGCGCATCCCAATCCGTTAGACATAGGTACCGTCACCCACAGACTCCTACCGTTAGGTACGTTCCGTCGCAAATGGCGCAGACCGCGACACGTCCTCGATTCCACGTCGCGACGATGAGTCGACTATCGCCATCGACAGGATAAAACAATTAAGCAAACACACCAGATCACACCGCTCTCGCCGGCGAGTGTGGCAAACATATACTAGGTTCCGCCATGTACCTGGCAGGTTTGCCCCCGTTAATATATATATTTTTTTATGTGAAAAGTTGCCAAGCGAGCAGACGGTTCACCTGATGGTAAGTGAATACCGCCGCTCATGGACATCTGTTACCCCCGGGGGTTGCAGATGCATTGACAACCCTTTGAAAATTGGCCTCCAGCCACCTCACTCACCAGACGAAACGCGAAAGTATTATACTTCCAATTTACGCCGGTCTTCTGTGAGGTCGTGGTACCTACCCGGACGAGCCTGCCCATTCGTGCAACAGCCGAGGCTGCTGCGTGACCCTACCACCGAATAATAAAACCGTTGCTGGAGTTTCTTCTGCCATTTCTTCTCCTAGCGTCAACGCTTTCCGAAGTGTTAGTAATGATAGCTTTAGAAATTCTCCAGACACACCATAGCTACCAATCGAGCGGAGGTCCTGCTCTCTCGGGCACCCTCGAATAGGACTGCTAAACGAATATTGAGTGACAGCCCAAGCCGAGGTCGACTCTCGGGGGCCCTTGAGCCTAGTCACTCCATGGAGCTTAAAGGCGGCCAAAGCGCCCTAAGCGCTTGGCCGCCTACCAAACCGGTGAGAATAATAACAATAACGTGACGGCCCGAGCCGAGCCGACACTCATACTTCTTGCCGACGTCCATGCTTCGATATTTAAGAAATCATGGAAACATCATTAGTTAAATACAGGCTCTGTTAACACAAACACCTTCTTCATTTCTAGGTATTTGGCGGCCGAGATGCAGTTGTATTGTCTCGGGCTTTTCATCTGTGTTCTGTCGAAAACGAACACTGCTAGGAAAGTGGTGCTCTCGCTGCTTTTCATAGTCGGTGTCGTAATTCCTGGTGCTGTAACATACATCATGGATTTGGACGGGGTTCTTATTGTCTCACCCGAGTAAGTTCTCTTCACTTATGCATCAAATCTAAAATAAAGTCATACTGTATTTCTAACCTGTATAAAAAATTGGGTCTAGTTTTTCTACGATTCGCCTAATTAGTAGTTATTAACGACTGACCCTTATACAAAATCATCACGGTAGCGAGGGTGGCGTTTCAGCTTGCAAGCGTGTGTTTAACTTTTCTATTTTTCCTCATCTAACACTTGTCTTCAGTAACATATTATTCCTCTCATAATTTATTTAATCGTATAATAAAATTTCACATGAAGTATATTTATTATTAAACAAAATTATATGAAATACATATTAATTTTAATAAAGTATCAATGGTCTAGGTCTATGGATAACAAAAAGACATATTTATTGATTTGAACCTCATCACTACACAGCACCAGGTAAGTAAAGTTTATGTACTCGTAATGCTGTGCACTCTCGCAGCGGAACCGCGTTAGATCGGAATGTCGATCCAGATGCAAAACGGTGGTAGAGCCACGCAACAGCCTCGGCTGTTGCACGAATGGGCAGGCTCGTCCGGATAAGTAAAGTAAGTAAAGTAACAGCCTATACATGTCCCACTGCTGGGCAAAGGCCTCCTCTATACAGAGGGTATCAGGGCATAGTCCACCACGCGGCCCCACTGCGGATTGGCGGACTTCACATATCTTCGAAATATATATATATATATTTTTTTGTTATTATTTCGAAAATATGCATATTTCCTCACGATATTTTCCTTCACCGCGGAGCACGTGATAAGTCAGCACTTAAAGTTAAAAACTTCATTGGTGCCGGCACCGGGGATCGAACTCAGGTTGCTCGAGTATATTGAATTAAAGGCGAGCGCCCGGACACTGAGCTATCACGGTCCGGATAAGCTTATAAGACATTTCCACGCACCCGCATAAGCCATATGTGCGTGTGCGAGTGTAAGCGCGCGTCCGTATCTACGTGCGTGCACAATTACATATGTGGATTTCTTACTGTTTGTATGTGTGCGCATTTATTATTTCAAGCATTCAATTTTTACATATCCAATTCGATTTTCCAGGACATCCCTAAACTATTTCGTATCCGATTCTACTTTCAACAATATCTACAAGCGTGGGCACACCAACATGGCCAGTTACATCATCGGTTTAAGCATGGGATTCATAGCTTACCACCTAATTGATACGAACTTCGAAGTTGGGAAATATAAGGTAATTACATCCTTATATTTGATCTTTTAATTGATTACTAATAGTATAAATTAATCCACCTCCATTCTTGTAATTTTCTTATAATAGTTTTATTGATATTAATTTTCAAAAAACAACAAGCTATAAAATGATATACATCACATTACATTACTGCTAATGTAATAGCGGACAGATGAAAGCAAGCCAACTTACCACATTATTATGCCCCGGGGTCGGTCTTCCTACAGAAATATTTATGGACCTACCAGCTGCTATTTCCATCTGGACTTTTGATAACGTGGATGGGCAGTATCTTCTACCGCGATGCTCCTCGAGATCCCGCATACGTCAGAGCTCTGTCCGCGGCCTTGATAAAGCCCATCTTCTCGATAATATTGGGCTTATACCTGCTGGGATTGATCTTCAAATGTGACAGTACGTATTTTCAGAATCTGCGATAACTATAAAAATAAACTCCTAATTGTGGGCCTGAAAATGAACATGGAAAAGACCAAAGTCATGTCAAATGTCCATGTGACGCCCAGGGCCGAGACGTGGTCTCTCACTATGGGCCTCATAAGGAAGCTCGCGGTCGCACAGCGCGCTATGGAAAGGGTAATGCTTGGGGTTTCTCTACGAGATCGAATCAGAAATGAGGAGATCCGTAGAAGAACTAGAGTTACCGACATAGCAGAGTAAGTCAGCAGGCTGAAGTGGCAGTGGGCAGGGCACATAGCTCGAAGAACCGATGGCCGTTGGGGCAAAAAGGTTCTCGAGTGGAGACCACGTGACGGCAAATGCAGCGTAGGAAGGCCTCCCACAAGGTGGACGGACGACCTAGCTAAGATCGCAGGGACGCGTTGGATGCAGACCGCTAACGACCGGTCGAAGTGGAAGTCAATGGGTGGAGGCCTATGTTCAGCAGTGGACGTCCTACGGCTGATATGATGATGATGATGATGATATTAATATATCAGACACGGTGGATACAAACGTGGGTAAGACAGGTGAAGTAAAATTGGATTTGTCGTGACACAAAACTACTTTAAGGATTTAATTATTAAAAAAAAATATAAAATGTGGATGAAAAGTTTTTGTCACTGCGACGATTTCAACATGCGTTTCCCTATCCTAACACCGACGAAAATCACAACGTACAATGATGCAATAGCATTAAAAAAAAATCATATTTGGTGCACAGAATACTCTGCACCAAATATGATTTTTTTAAACATTGCATTGATAGAAAATTTGTCGAAAAGACACCTTTAAGATTAAAATTTTTCAAGGATTCACCTTGAGTGCAGAGAATAGCACTATAAAAATTAATATTCTTTAGAAATATTAGTTGTATTTATTGTTTTTTTTTATATGTGAAAAGTTGCCAAACGAGTAGACGGTTCACCTGATGTTAAGTGAATACCGTCGCCCATAGACATCTGCTACACCCGAGAGTTTGCAGATGCGTTGACAACCTTTGAGGACTGGAGCGGAGGAAATTATTGCATATTCTTTAATCTCTGCTATTTAACCTACGTTATCATATCACCACTACCTTTTACCACTAAGACAGTAGCAGATCGTCGAAGTGAAAGTCAATACAAAATCAGAGCCAAAATACGTACACAGGCGCACACATTTAATCGCAAAACATTTAGATTTTAGCAACCACATGGTCATGGCTTGTTTGCCCCAAGAAATTTTACTTGATCTTTAAATAAAAGTGTAAATATTACTCGTGAAGAAATCCTTATCTTATCTTTCCAGAAATAAATCGACGACTCTTGGAGTGGAATTTCTGGACTATTACCAGCCGCTTGACTTACAGCGCTTTCCTACTGCATATATTGGTGATGCGAACATATATCGGGACCAAAGACACAATGATGACTACGCTTTTCATGCATATGGTGTGAATTTTTATTTAACAAATCAAATATATCTTACATTTCAAGAGATATTCTAAGTTTAAGGTTTTAAGTTTTTTAAGTTTTTTCAGCATAGTTCACTTAATTAAATATTTAATATTTCACTTCACAGTTACATACTTGTATCTCGACTGTTCTCCTCACTTTTATATTGGCGACGCCTTTCTGGTTACTGGTCGAGGAACCGATGAATGGGCTTCTTAAACTTGTCTTTTCGACTGCCACTGGATCCAACGAAACAAGAATTAGAGAGAATATATCAAAGAACAGTGTGGTTTAATTATATACATCAAAAATGGTTATGACTTTTTTTTTCTTATTAGCATTTGTTTATTTTAATTTGATTTTATTTATTCACTTTTTTAATATTCAGAATCGGAAAGTGCATAATCCCCCGCCTGATTAAAGAAATGCAAAGCAAAAATTTTAATTATCCACGGTATAATTTGATAGGGAATTGAATTTAATTCACAATTTTATGAATTTTGATTTCTTTTTGCACTGTTACAGATTTAGTTGTTAGCAATTGGCAAGTAATTAACGTCAAGTTATATATTTTGGTATATGGAAAACTGAATGGTGACCAATTGCCGGACCTTTTGCATAGTTGTTGCAACAAAGCTATTTAATAATAATAATAATATAATATAATATAATAATATTTTGGGGCACATTCTTTTTACACAACGTTCTCTAGTCCCAAACTAAGCAACGCTTGTACTATGGGTACTAGAAAACTGATAGACATACTTAAACATACTTTTCTTTGGTAAATAAATACATATTATACATATATAAACACCTAGACACTAGAAAAACACTATGCTCATCACACAATATTTTTCCAGTAGTGTGGATCGAACCCACACCCTCTGGCGCAGAAGGCAGGTACACTACCGACTACGCCATTTGTCTTTGAAAGCGGTTCATCCGAACAAATTGAGGTATTATAATGATAATGCCATGTGATTATTTTTATACTGCTAACCTATAGTTGCAAGCTGGTGACCAATTGTGTGTGTCTCTTAACTTTATAGGATCTTTGATATTGTAAAATGATGTTAAGTGATTTGACCGCCGCTCATTGACATTCGCAATATCAGTAGGGTTGCAGATCCGTTGCCACCTTTTAATAAAGTGGGCCCCGGCTACCTCCCTCACCTGACGAAACGCAGAAGTAGAACACTTCCACTTCACGCCGGTCTTCTGTGAGGTCGTGGTACCTACCCGGACGAGCCTGCCCATTCGTGCAACAGCCGAAGCCAATGCGTGGCCCTACCACACGCCACAGGAGTTTTGAATCCGAAATAAGCTCCGAAGCGCTCTTATTTAATTCATATATTTATTTATTTATCACCAACAACCCACAAACAGAATAAATATCATACACGGTTTAAATGAAAGCGATGAGTAATAGAAAAGTATAACTGTATTATTAACAATCTAAAGGCTAATACAGTAAAAAAAGAATGTTGGGCAAAAAAAAATTATAGAACGGTCACGATACTAAGAATTTATGGCATGATTATTGGCAGGAAAGGTCAACGCACGCATTACCGCCAGTTTAAGACACGTTCAGATTGACATGCAAAAAATAAGGACATCTTTAATAACTGGCATGTTTTAATTTTTTTTAAAGTACAAAAATCATCAATATATTTAGTCTGATATAAAAATAATTAGCAAAATGAAATAACTAAGAAATATATTGATGAAAAGGGATATGGAAGGATCCCCTATTCCCATCCATTGCATGGGGTATGTTCCTATTACCGTTTTTGTGGCACCTATTACTGACCGCTAAATGAACGGAACAATTCGAGTTAAATAAAAATGCTCGTGTGATTAATTCTTTATAGATCATGATCCATCAAAATACAGGGTGTTATTATCAAACCTTACGCCCGGTTTCTGAAACACTGATCATCGTAGAAGTCAACTAATCAGCTGTCTGAAGGCTCATCAGAATGATCTCCTTAATGATAAGAATGAACAATTCAAAGAGTTTCACAATTCTTTTGGCAACTCAAATAACATTTGAAAAGCCTTTTGACAGCTGATTAGTTAACTTCAACATACTTAACAAATACTTGAGAGCCTTTAATCAGTCTTATAAACATGCTTATTAATATGAATTGTACATAAAAAAAATATAGTATAAGAATGATTGCAGACTAGTACATATGGCATCATATAACAGTAAATAGCATTATACTACGTAAACAGGGAATATAATAAAAATAAAATTACTATAAAATCTTAAGTTTAGCAGTCATTTGAATGTTTGTAGTGCTAACTCTGCACTTTTTATGCTAGAAGATGGCAACCGAGCTGACGGTTCACCTGTTAAGTTATAACCGTAACGGATGTACATTTGCAACACTCATGGGATTGCAGAAACGTTGCCACCTTTTAATAAAGTGGGCCCCGGCTAACTTACCAAAGGGAGCTCAGAAATTTAACACTTCCACTTCACGCCGGTGTTCTGTGAGGTCGTGGTACTTCCCCGGAGGGACCTGCCGTTCGTGCAACAAAGAAAACTGTCGCGTGGCCCCACCACACCGGCGCTTAAGATGAAACATTGAAATACGTAAGAATCATATAAAAATACTATATTGGAGAAGTATACACCGTACATCCATCAAAATATTTACATATGAACAAAGTTGATTTACACAGCTATCGATACACTTAAATATATGGCAATATTTTGTTGTATTAAAAATTTCTATCTCCGTTTCTTTATTTAATATACTTATGATTGAGCATTGTCTCCCTAATTGATACTAAATTATTAATATTCTATCCATATTTTGAAATATTTTTCTTATTTTTTTTTCAAAAGTTACTAAGCGAACAGGAGCATCACTTATGTGTAATGATAAATGCCTAAAGAATTACAGGTGCGTTGCCAACCTTTAAAAATAGTGTAGCCACAGCTATCTTACTCACCCGACGAAACGAATGAGTACAATACCTAAGGCCTTAATATTTCCCCATCTGAATCCGCCCATTTGTGCAACAAATAGACTTGCCGGACCTTTTTTCATTGTTATAATGCGGCGAAAGACGCAACTGTGGTAGGACCACACAACAGTGAACACAGTTATTATTTAAAGTTTTATTACTCTTGCATCTTTTGCTGCACCTACCCTTAACTCTCGCCACATCTTGGGTTGGCTGGTAGAGCACACAGGCAATGCCTTTGGGCACTAAGGCGCCCTTTGCTACCTTGTTTTACTTAAGGTTTGCAATAAAGATTAAATATATAAAAATAAATGAATGGCTCCTGTTTTTTATGCGAGTTAAGGTGGTAAACGTGCTAGCGGTTCACCGACGTTAAGTGATTACCGCCGCCCATGGACATTTGCAACACCCGTAGGGTTGCAATGGGTTGCCACTTTATAATAAAGCGCGCCCACGCCGTTACTTACCCGGACGGTCCTGCCTATTCGTGCAACGGCGAAGGCTGTCGCGTGGTAGTGTTTATCAATGATCATTGACACCAATCACACCCGTGAGGTTGCATTTCCTTTATAATTTTTACGTGGATCTTCTGCGAGGTCCCGACCTACTTCCCCGAAGGCATCGGCTCATTCATGCAATAGTACAAGATAATGAGTCAAATCAAATCATTTATTCATCGAAATAAGAAATATACATTTCATCTATCAATAGTCATTTTTTAAATCTACGTTTCGTAATGAGGTTCCACTAACGGAGAAGAAACAGGCGAAAAAAGTCCTCAGGTATCTCCTCTTTTGTCATTTTTTTTCTCAAACAAATACATATAGAGTACATATTTTTTATTTTATTTAAAAACAGCTTAGAACGATCATCTCATTCCCAGGAGTTATTATCGTTATTGTATTCATTTATGCTATAATAACCCTTTTTAAAAAGATTTTCTTTAATAAATTTCTTAAACCTGTTAATAAAAAGGCTCTGCACATTAACTGGGATTTTTTGTTGTAGAAGCGTGTACACCGTCCCATGAACGAGTTACTGACTCTATGGATTGGTATCTAGGAACTGGTAACTTTACTCCAGTACATATGAACGCTAAATCGACTTAAGTCTATCCAGCATATAAAAAATTATCGTACCTACGTTACCTGCTGTTCCTTCATACTGTCGCCAGTAAACATTTTAAAATCATTCATCGCACGCTACAAGAGAAATTAAAAAATTAAAGCCACTTTGCTAAAATGAATAGAATACTACCGCCGCTTAAGCGTATTTTACTCAATTCCATACCATTTCCGTGTATTTATGTATGAATTAATTGCAAGCGAATTTCAATTATAGCATGTGAACGCAATGCTATTTCCGTCTTCTCACAGTTGCCTCTTTTGGCGAATAAAATTCAGCTGCTAGATCAGTTATACATCTAGTTGTTTGATCATAGCTCAACAAACACGTCACTTGATCTGTTTGTTGAAATAAAATAAAATAAAAAAGCTGCTACTTAATTTTTTAAAATTAATCAATCTGTGCTAGTATCAAAGATAAATTTGTTTATTATTATCTTTGAAGATGATATTTCTTTTATTATTTCTTGTATTACAAACCGGGAGCTGTGTGATTTATAGACTCAATGGTAAGTAAATTCGACATCATATTTATCCACTGACAATAATAGTACAAAATATAAAGGACAAGGTCGAAAACGACCTATATCCCTCCGTGTATACAACTTATACCATAATTATCAAGGAACTGTGTGGCTTAAAAAAAATTGACGGACACTTCTGAGAGTACCTAATAAATATTTTCAACGGCTATTCTGTATAATAGCTGACGGTACAGTACATTTTTTTTTTGCTGTAGGAATCCGTCTGGGGGCACCGATTTGTCAACAACACCAATGCCCTTGTGGTGTCAGTGTAGACAAATTTGGTCTTCACGGGCTCTTGTTTCCATCAATGTTTTATCTATTTTAGAAGCCTGTGGCATTTTTCGCGACGATGGTAAGAGACCCGATG